GGTCCAGATGACATTTTGAACAAACAGCAGATTATTTAATTTTTCTAAATATCATCTACAAAATTCTAATCTTAGATTGACATCTCCGGCACGTAAATAATGAGTTAGCCCCGCTTTGTATGATTTATATTTATTTTTCTTTCATATTCGGGAGCAGCGGCTTTTGGGTCAGACGTCTTGTTCAATTTCTCTGCAAGATGTTGATGGATTTATCGCAACTGAAGCCAGCACATTGACTTCATCCTCTTGTAGGTCATTTTCGTATGTTTTTGCACGTGGTTTGGGGAAGGACCAAAAATCCATTAAATTTTCTGCTAACCGGCTGAAAGATCTTGCGTGCGGTTGTCTTCTTCCGGATACCTTGTGAAATATAATTCCGCGGCTAACGTCGCATTCTTATCTGATAACATATACCATTCCATCATGTTACATTTTTCATAATTTTCGAAATTCATTGTAAAGTTTTATTCAGTTTTGTTATACTTTGACACTTAACATGCTGATGCTCCACACCAGCACATAATGCTAGAGTTGTTAGCGAATTTTTAAATATAAACTTTGATAATTATCTGATACATTATTTATCATCATAGTATGTATGGTTATCACCATAGCAACATTAACTTTTAAATACATACATTAGTTTTAGATAGAACAAAAAGAATTTTTGTTAATTATTCAATAACTATAAGAAATATACCCCACAAACTATATATATTTGTTATCAGAAGAAAATAACAAATTATTTTAGGTCATAGCCAACTATGGTTTCCATTTAAAAAAATAAAATTACGTCTAAAATCTCAAAAATAAAAGATGGGAAAAAAATTCTACCTACGCCACTGAATTCTTCGTAAAAAGTTGCCCATATAATGTTTTATTTATAATACTCCATCTTTGATAATAAGTGAGATATTGGCGAATGTCGTTTTCGCCAAATTTTCAGTTTTTGCCGATAGGGCGAAAACAAAAGACGATAGCTTTTCGGAGTTTTCGGCATTATCATTTTCTGGAAAAACGAGTTCATGACATGTAAGCTACTTTTTTTCTATCTCTTTTAGTTTCGGAGTTAGCCTATTCGGACATCGAATTTGAACCACCCTGTACAACTGTACCGATGAAAAATTTTGTACTGAATTGCTACTTTCACGTACTTTATCAATAAAATCGTACTGAATTTAGTACAATTGTACCGAAACGGCAACACTGGTTTCCACGCTGTTATATTTCGATTGGTGCCGCGCCAAACTTTAATTATAAATGATATAAAAAGTTGAGTTCTTCACTATAATTAATAAAATTAATATTGTTTTTTGTATTTTAATAATTTTGTTCAATATATTACATCTCTCTCAGTACATTCTACCTATATATTATTATATACAGTGAATTTCACTTAAAATGCAACATGGTAACACATGTTTGAAGACGCATGGCTAAACCCGATACTTTCTAGGTCTAGTGTTAGTTCTAGTTTTACACTAGCAGTAGAACCTAGCTTAGAACCAGAAACATTCGTGTTTAGCTATGCATCTTTTAAGACGACCGAAAACTCAGGGTGGTCATAAGGACGTCACCTTTTTCCAAGCAAAACTTTTCCTTTGTAAAACTACCCAATGCCTGTACTATTAAGCTATATTGCATTTTGTGTAGGGTAGTGCAAGTGTATAGTAGTGTCGTAACTACGTAACTGTATTCATATATTGCGAGTTGTATAAAATTCCCGGTTTATAGATAGAATGTACATATATAATTATTACATTAGCTGTTTTGTTTAGCAAAAAATTTAATAAACGTATTCTTTACGGAATCACGATCGTTGCGATCACCACATAGCAGTAACAATACACAATCCTTTAATAAAGACCCTCTTTCGACGGGAACGGCACATTGTGCGGTTCGCGATAGCGGCTCGCAGGTGATATTTATGAAGTAGGTATGCCCGGCATCCACCTCTATCAGATGCTACAAACCTTCGCGGCCGGATCGAACCAACCGGACGGCCTTCAAGGACCTTCAGGGTCCTTGCCGCGGTACCTCTTGCGGTCGCCTTCTTCTTCACATGTGTCCAAGCGGCATCGCCGTAACACACGTCGTTACACTTTAACATAAAATGTCAAAACCATTCAAAAACCAAACCTAAGCGGCCAGTCCAAAACGACTTAAAACATTCGTTCCGATGGTCTTTAAAGGTGTATAAATTATTGTGAATCTACATAATGAACATCTTCGTTGACGCAACAACGACGACTATCTATCACGGTACAATGTTGTATTGATGCGAGCAAAATACTGTTATTAGCGAAGTCGCGTGAGAAATGGCACTTGGTAATACGTGGTAATGGTTTGGATCGACTCTAACCTCGCGTTCCGGTTGCGAAAGATGCCGGTCTCTTCAATTCGTCACTGTCCTGAGGGGACTCTTCTGACAGATGAAAGATGAGTAACTATCGATATAATACACCTAAATGCTACAATGTTCGAGAATATCGCCATGCGTTACTAAAAGACATCTTTAATTTAATGTAAAAAAACGTTTATCATACATATCAAATTATGATTACTTTATGATGATGTATTTTCTGAAAGTTCAATGTCACATTAGATCAATACCTTGTCAAACTTTGTTGCTGTTCTTATTTGTTTATGATTAATTCAACGTCTATAATGTTTTCTTGTAACTTATCTAATTATTCCGTAATCTCAATAATCCTCGAATTGTAAGTTTTTTTAACGTCCTTAAAATCGAAAAACTCTCGTAAGTTTCGGCCAGTTCGAACGACGTGGAGGCCTATTCTTTTAATATAAATTGTATTAATCTTAGTGATATTAATGCGAACCTATAATTAGTCATTCAAATTCAAATCATTTAATAATTAAGGGCGACAAGAAGTTGCTAGTTTAACAAGTTGCAAGAAGTTTTATTACATTTAATTTAATAAATCGGATTAACTGTTTTATAGAGAAAATTTGAATAAAAATGTTTCAATCCAGGTAGATTTAGAAAGTAGTAACAAACTATTTTTATAATAAAATATCAAACTACTAGAAAAACTTGTCGTGACATTTCTCGATATTTTGCTAAGTAATGCATTACAAGTTGCGGATTGTTTTTGTCGGCCCACGTCGAGTTGCAATTTCCTCAATTAATTAGGCTCGTGCAGACAGTCGACCGTTAGTTTTGCGGACGCAATCGGACTGATCTAACGTCAAGATACACTCTTCGTGTGTATGTAGACCTCACACGAACAACATCTGCAGCTAATAGTCACCATACAGGATACGATCAAGAAGCTACTATATCAAAATGGTAATATAAAACGACAACAAAAAATAGAAAATCACAAGATTTTTTGCTACTTATATAGAATTACCGCATCCGATTTCGTTACCTTATTGTGAAAACTAAAACAAAGTCTTAAATTAGCCCAAATTTTCATATTTTCACAAGTTACACTCAGGTATTGAGATAAATTTTAAGAAATTACGTTGTCGTGCCGGCTGTGCTACTCAGGTGACCATATAAGAGCCGACTCGCCATATGGCATGGGATAGCAGGTTTTATTGGGCAACAAGACGGCCTTGTCTTAATTCTCCAAGAGCTTATCTATCCGTCTTTCGACCTCGATGTTATCTAATAATTTTGTAAACCCCCATAAATGGTCAACTAACCGTGATCTGACTTCACGTTCACACACACAATTTTTACGTAAATTAATACAATTGGATTATAAAAATAAAATGTTATACAAAAAACAAGAATTAATTAGAGATAATACATTACGTGATATCGGTGTTGAATCAGAAAAGATCCTCGACACATTTCAATCGTCGAGATTATCCGTAATATTAATGGTCCACTAATACGCAAGAAATTCATTTTAGCATGTTATTTATTAATGGGCAGGTTAGATAAATTGGTGAAGACGTTATAAATAACGCAGATTAATTCATCACTACAGTGTAGGCGTGTAATAAAAAACTAGTCGTTAACGGATGGTGAAATGGTCATCTCTAAAAGACGAAATCCTCTATATGCTGAATGTAAAGGTAATGCAATTTGATGCAAATCGTCATTTGGAGGCGACCAAAACCGGAGTTAATCCGCAACTTCTTTAAATAGACGAGATCATTCAGAAAGCTTAAGGCTCGTGTACATCCTGACATAACAAAAAGTATGATCTATAAATTTGCTGGTTTCTTATACTAACTGGATGGTGTCTTATTTAATATAAGCGTCGATAATGGCCGTTGAAAAAAAGTGTCCAGGACGAGAATCTCTTATGTAAGGAAACAGATACCTAAATAAAAGTGTAAGTGGTAGATGGTTAAGTGTAAACTTGGCTTGGTTCGTTTTTCTTAAATTTTTTTCTTTTATTTTCAGAGGCAACGTGATTTTCACTTCTACCCGCTTCCAAGGACTACTGGTGCGCATTTGCTCGCCCAGACTCTTCTCGGACCTTTTTCTTGCGCTACTCACTTCGAGCCGCAAAACCAGGGACAAAAAGGAGGCGTTCGTTATTAACTGTTTTGTCCAGCCGCGGGCTTCATCGTGTTTCTCTGTAAAAGGAGGCCGCCGACGAGAACAAATAATCTTGTAGGGCTTCATGATTTACGCCAATATTCACCTTAGATTTCAACACAACAATTTCACAATATTTGCCAATTTAAAATATTACAGGAAATCAAATTTTTATTTATTCCTAATAATTATAGAACTCGAAGATTTGTTCTTCTCGCACTATTGCCCTCTAATTGGATTCGTTTACGGTTCGTGGGCGTTCAGATCAAAAAGAACAAAAAGAAAAAAAAAACAAATCGTAAGAAAACAACGTTATAGCGGCTCGATTGAAATTGCAGCCTCTGTTGTGGTTTTGGATACACCACGGGTCAGTGGTTAACGCAAAAAGAACGCAGAACACGCAGGAAATCAAATATTAGGATGTTCGATAGTGAAACGGACTGCAAACTAGAGGAAATTGGATCGTTTTTAAACTAACCACATAATAAAAAAGAATGTTAAAAGAGATACAACTATAACAAAGTCATTTGAAATAATTTAAACCATCCGAATAGTAATTGTTGTGGTATTATTTATTTTATGTTGAATGGAATTATAAATTAATTAATTTAACAACAAAAAAATCCTCTTGGGTAGTAGTCAAATTTCTATTGAAATCTAATTAGATATTAAGTGAAAAGGTATAATCGTTCTCTTTTCCTCTTATAGACTTATAAAGACGCGTAAAATAGCAGGAATTTAGTCGAGGTAACAGGCGCGGGGTAAGAACAATAGTAATCCCGTGTAGTAATGAGCGCAATCGTTCCTACGCTCTTTCCCGATATGGATATACCAGGATTCCTGAGGGATCGGTTATAAAATTATCATTAGAAAAATGCTATTGTGAGGATGTTTTCTGCGCTTGTCGCCGGAGATCGTGGGAAATCGTCGCCGAGCTATTCCGAAAATCTTTTGATCTCGCATATAGTAGATAGGGGGTAATCGCAGAAGCAACACTCTTACCAAAAGTAGAACCGTAAAGATGACTCGGTTTTCTTAAAAACAATTTATCTGAACCTTTCAAGTTTACTTGTTCCTCACAAGATCATATCGCCACGGTTCAAGAAGACGTGTTTAAAAGAATTGTACCTGTGTCCAAAAACACTAAAAATTGTGGAAAACAACTTGGTATTTTTCTACCTGCTCAGATTAATTCATGTCATAAATTTTTCACTTAGGTACCAAAAAAAATTAAAACCTTAGGATAAACGCACCAGTGTTTGACCTGTTAAAGATTTTTTAATGTCAGTGTTTGACCGAGCCATATTATTTTTCTTGTAGATCTCTCTGCCTTTACATAAAATGATCAAAATATGATCAAATACACATCTGATTCATTTAAACTTAGTTACCCTCTTTGATTATATATAATATGGATTGAGCCAACGAGAGAGATAGCTTGCGCAAGGTGATCGAACCCAAGGTTTATATATAAGAGGTTGTCTAGGTTCGTACGCAATCATACTGCGCATTACGTCACATGTGGAAAATAATACCGCCAAGCAATTCAAATTAAACAAAGGCATGGAGCACCACATGGTCATGAGGTTGCGTGCGCAATCCGTGATCGCTTACGTCACGAAACACTTCTGCTCTTGCCCCTCGCCCACAAACTAAAATCAAAGTATTGCAGCATAGGAACTTAGACAACCTTTAATATATAAACCTTGGATCGAACCGAGATAGACATAGAAGCGTACTGACATATAATGGGCGTGCGTTAATTTATAAGATAAAAAACTATCAATTAGAAGTAACATTTATATAATACTTACAGGTGATGTGAAACTGTATTATCGCGAACTTTGCACACGAAACAATACATTTTTAAACATAACGGTGTGACTGGCTGTGACACAACAAAACGATAAACGTCAGGTTTGACACTTTTGTGCGCATGCGCCCTTCTGTTTAGTACCGTTTTATGTCTATCTTTGTTACACTTTCACATTATCGCTTTCCATCTGCGTCTATTCACCTTGAGCCACATTTTTGTTAGTAGATATATTCAGTTAGCTCAATCCATATTATATATAATCAAAGCTTACCCTACATATAAAATATAACATCATGAAGTAGTATTTTTTAAAAATTAAAAAGGAAAACAGTATTTCGCATTTAGTGTTTGACCACTTTGATTACATTACTTAAAACCGTCAATGTTTGACCGATTCTTAATATAATATTCATTTTCATTATTTTTCCATACTATTTTGTTCACAAAAAAAGTTTATATTTTTGGACTCTTTAAGAACATCTTTTAAAACAGGAGTAAAATGCTCTTGACTTTACTTTTCACCCAAATTTTGTGTTTTCCAACTGGGTTTTTGTAACAGGAAAACCCCTGCTGAATGAAACAACCATTCAACCAGCAGTTTTTCTTCATCAGAATTTAAAAATGCTGGTGGGCCCATTTTCCTCTGCACAGGTGTTTTTCCTTTTTCTTTATAAATAAGGTTTTACTTTGGAACGTTAAACATCTTGGCTGCTTTTTCATAAGATAAACTCCTACTTCTTACATCGAGAGTCTTTTGAAGATCTTCTTCACTATTTTTAAACTTAGGCTTCGTTGTCATATTGGTACTGAGAAAATGTTAACCTGATTCATATTTCCTAAATTTTCCATATAGATTTTCCATTTTTTGATAATTGACCATTATAAGAGTCAGCGTTTGACCAACCTTTTATCTTTTTAATTTTACAGACTCATTACTGCTTAAGTGCGGTCAATTACTTTTATTGTTATAAAAAAGGTTTAAAAAAATAGAAAAGAATCAAACATTTATATTTATATTACGCTTAAATATATATAAAATTTAAAATCGGTTAAAAAACTCAGTTTTGAGTGTTTGTGTCCTATAAATGACCAAAAGAGGAACCAGTAATTGACCGCATATTTAACCTGATTGTATCTTACTTTTAAAGTATAAAAGTTTTGGTCAAATACTAAACAACTTAAACGGGAAGATATAAGTTTTAAAAACAGGTATTACACATTTTTCCATTTTATTAATCAAATATAAATCCTTGTGAGATTATAAAACAAGCAATTCGTCTAGTATTTGACCGTTTGGTCAAACACTAATTTTTAAT